TTGGTTATCAATGTAGAAATTATTAGAATGCATACCAATTTTCTTTAATTTTTTAGTTTTCTAGAATAAATTAGTGGAAGAGATTGTTATTAGAAAGAGAGAGATTTCAAATGGCCTCATCGTATGAACCCTATCTTTAAATTAATATTACTAAATTTATGTTAAAGACCATCATGTTATAAAAATAAAAAATATAATTAGACTATTTATTCTTAGGTTGTATTAAGAAATACCATTTATTTTTTAGACAAGAAATACTTATTGTGTTGCCTTTTATTTTTTTTTACAAAAAAAATATGATACTTGTTGATTATCTTTTTCTTCTTTTTTTGACAAAAAAAGAATTATGTATTACATTTTTTTTTGCTTGTTGTATTACTTTTTATTTTTTTTTACAAGAAAAATAAAAAATGATGCTACCAAAGTACATTTTATTTTTTTATGCCTTTTTTTTTATTTTTTTGCAAGAAATACTTGATATATTACTTTGTATTTTTTTTACAAGAAAAATAAAAAAATGTTGTATTATCTTTATCTTGAAAAGCCTTTTATTTTTTATATTGTTTTACAACAATATTTTCTGCCTTTGTTTATTTTTTTTTACAACAAAAATATAAACGAGGACGCGCGCTAAGGGATTCGAACTCTAGATGTCCACCGAAAAATCGAAGATGTCAACCAACACCACCACATCGCCTAATGCGATTTTATTAGCTTCTATATTAATATATATTCAATCGTCTTGCTTTAATGATTTTTTGTGGGAATTATCCCACATTGAAAGATGAGTGTTGCTTTGTTCTCTATAAATTCCCGTGTAATAGATGTTGTATTGCGCGTGTAGAAAAGCGATGGGGTCGACATGTGAGGTGAGTTACCACGTGTGGAGGATTTTTAAGTGCCACGTGTTGCTTCCATGAGGCGGCCACGTATAAGACTTGTGATTCCCTTAGGTGCCACGTGTTGTTCCCGTGAGACGGCCACGTGTAAGACTCGCGATTCACTATTGGGAATCGCCCGGTTCTCTCTAGACACGGGCGATTCCCGATTTTTTCATGGAATCGGCTCGGTTGTAGATGATTCTTGTGTCGAACAGGGCGAGTCCGGCTCAACTCGACGAGTTTTCAAACCCTGGTTAAAACATTGTAGACACCTTATCTTTTGTTTTGTTTTTTTTCGACATGGTATTACACAAAGATGTTACAAGTTTATAAAAAAATCTAATGAAATATTGAAGAAAAAGTTATTGAGCAACCAGCAACTCATCCAACCCAGTCTTTTTTTTGCTAAGTCATCCGCCATCGCATTTGCCTCCCTGTAGATGTGCACCAATTGATAATATTCATAGAATCCCCTTCAACAACTCAAGGCTAAATTTTAAATGGTTGAAAAAAAATACGCAATCCTTGAAATACGGCTTCCATCTCTATACAATTTGATGTTGTTACCCCACAAGGTCCTACATAACATGAAAGAACTTCACCATTTGAATTCCTTATAACCCCGCCATAAATAATAAGTCCCGGATTCCTAAAGAAACTTCCATCAAAATTAAACTCTAATGTTCCACCAACCGTAATCATCCTTTGGACGATCAAGTTAGAGAGATTGACTGAAACATCTACTTCCAAGACTCCAAAACCCTCTTTTGTTATTGAAAGGCAACTCCAAATATTTTGGCTTGTCGAAATTTTCACGTAGCAGCAATAAAGAACTTTAGCACGACAAATAGGATGAAAAAGCAATAATACAGATGCTGTCAAGTTCACTGTTCGAACTCTTTTGCAGAAATAACCATATTGTGCTAGTAAACAAGTGCTTTGCTCTTGGCTCGAGAGCTAGCAAAGCTTTGCTCTTCACTCTTTTCTCTAGTGCAAGTAAAGAAGTGCTTTGTTCTTTCCAATGCTTAGCAAAGAGCAACAAACAATTTAAGACTAGGCTTCCAGTAAGTCTATTTGCGAGCGAAACAAAAGATTACACTGTGAAGAAGTCGGAAACAAAAAACAAACAATCAATCGACACAAGATTTAATGTGGTTCACCTTTTGGGGCTACCCCTAAAGGAGAAAGAAACAATCTACTAAAACTATAAAAATTACGAGGAACAAATCACATTCTTTTAAGATACTATTTCTCCCTAATGTTCCCTTGTTTCAAGAGGCTTCCCTCTTCTTTGATCACATGTCTCTCTCTTTCTAGGCTTTTTTCTCTTAGGTTTTCTCTCACTCCAAGAGGCGCTACCTTTCTCTCTTAGGGTTTTTTTACCTCTTTAAGATGCTTCAATTAGAGAGCCTCCAAATCCCTCAATGTTGGGTTATATAAATAGGCCTCCCAATGACAAAGTCATTTTCTACCATTTGGGCTTATGACAAGGGTTTGAATCCCCCTTTTAAGGAGTGAATATTCTTATATTCATAGATGTTTCATGGCCTATGTTTAAGCGATGGCCTATGTACATTAAGAATATTTACTCCTTATTCTAGATAATGATAAAAGTTTTTGTTAAAGGTAGAGTTTTTGTTTGCAATTCGATTTCTTATTACATATTTCAAAATAAATACCTAATTAAAATAGGAAAGGATATAGATTGAATTGAATTAAGAGGTAAGCCACTCTTAACTCCCACCTAGATCCATCATTAGGTACACTCTAGAGTCTCTCTCTCTACATGTTCATATATTCAAATTTCACATGATCATGCCTCAATTGTGATTTAATATATTTTGAATATTAATTAATTATGGTGTAACATAGGTAACACTTACCATGAAAGCAACTAAAGCTGCATAGTTAACCCTTTACAAAGTAGTTTACCAATATGGAACTAAGGTATTCATGGTTATAAACAACGTTTTAAAACGGATCTGTAACTCGGATCGTCCCTCTGAAATTCCAATCTGATTCGGCAAATCCGTGATCCACATCGGCGATCCAATTTACTGAACCACATATTAGAAAAACTAAGAAAAAATAAGTGCGATCGGCAGGTTTCGATCCGAATCACTGATTTAAACACTGTTAACTTTGAATCATCTGCCTGTGATGTGATTGCTTATCATTTTCATGGACAAAAACCAGAGGATTGTTGTACGTTTGCTTCATATATTCCAATATTCCTTGTAGTCCCCGGCAACAACGGGAAACGCACCACTGTGCTGCAACGATCTCCGATAACCAGAGATGATGATGGTGGTAAGAAAGAGAGAGGAGTCCACTTCAAAACACCAGTAAAATAACTTAAGAGAAAAAAAAAAATTAGAGTTTGAGTTCTCAAATACTTAGATTTGACTACTAAAACTTAGACAGTTGTTGTTCAATATAAAAAGATTTTTTTTTTTTGTTCCAGCACTTATGAAGTTCTTATAAATTATCTTTTTTCCTTTTGGAAATTGATATTTTTTTTTTGGCCTTTTTTGAAAATTTAATTGTTCTGTCCCAAAAAATTTGATATCCTAAAAATATCCCATAATACCCATGGTTTTATCCAATGGTTTAAAAAACGGATCGGTGACCCGGATCGGGCTTCCAAAAAACCGATTTGAATCGGCAAATCGGCGATCCGGATCGGGAATCGGGTGAATTGGTCAGAATAAAGCTTAAAAAAAATCCGAAAAAATTATTAAATTACATT